TGAGTCAAGTCTAGTCACAGCTGATCTTCATGAGGCAAGTCTAGTCACAGCTGATCTTCCTGAGGCAAGTGAAGTCACAGCTGATCTTCCTGAGTCAAATCAAGTCACAGCTGATCGTCACGAGGCAAGTCAAGTCACAGTTGATCTTCATGAGGCAAGTCAATTCACAGCTGATTTTCATGAGGCAAGTCAAGTCACAGTTGATCGTCATGAGTCAAGTCAAGTCACAGCTGATCTTCCTGAGTCAAGTCAAGTCACAATTGATCTTCCTGAGTCGTCAAATCACAGTTGATCGTCATGAGTCAAGTCAAGTCACAACTGATCTTCCTGAGTCAAGTCTAGTCACAGCTGATCTTCATGAGGAACTTCAAGTCACAGTTGATCATCACGAGTCAAGTCAAGTCACAGCTGATCTTCCTGAGTCAAGTCAAGTCACAGCTGATCTTCATGAGTCAAGTCAAGTCACAGCTTCCATTCCTGAGTCAAGTCAAGTCACAGCTAATCTTCATGAGTCATGAATCTGGTCCTGAACTGATTCCCCTGTCTGAAGCGCTTCCCATGATGGGGATCGCTTTTTGGTGTGTTTGGGCTGCATACACTACCACAGAACTTCCAGAGATGGCGGTGCTCACTCCAGGTCCTACAGAGGTGGCGGCTGAGGCTGCAGAACCCTCCGAGGTGGCGGCGCTCGCTTTGGCTCCTGGTATGGTGGTGGCGCCCAGCAATACACTTTCAGCCTGTCATGTCACGGTCGAAGGAACCGTTGCTGAACAATTGCTGTGCCTGTCTTGTTAAGGAGAATATTCATGAACTTTCCCTGTTTCCTGATGGTATGGCTGTAGACTAAGACTCCTTGCTTTCAGAGCAGACATCACATAAAATTTGATGAAACGTTTTTTTGTTTGGTGTTGAAGTTTCTTTGGCTGTTGAAGCACCTTGTAATGGTCCACAACCTTTTTAAATGCTGCATTTATTTTCAATTCTGGCTTACTTTCAAATCTTTCCTTACCGAGAGGGCATAGATAGAGCTGTCCACTTTCCCAGCATGCCTCGATACAGATGTTACAGAAGTTGTGTCCACATGAAGTGGTGATTGGGTCAGTGAGCACCTCCAGACATACATGGCACTGGAGAGGCTCACTAGAGAGTGATGAACTGAAGGAAGTCATGACTGTAAGTTAGAAACAGGGACACCATGAGGCTCTGCATAGAAGTGATCAAAAATCAATATTAACAAGGAAAAAAGTAGTTAACAGAATGAGCATTGCATTGCGATCTATAACTTTTATTTTCAAGCATTGAGCACTGGCTGTTTTGCCATATGCAGCATAGCTAACAAATAGCTTAAAGCACACAGTGCTTATGTTAAAATATATACAGTATGATTTTGCTATTCTTCACACAATCTTCACAATCAATCTAATTTGACTTACATGTGAAATTTCACTGAAAAACATAATCTTTTTGATTATCAGTAGTGCCCACTCTGTAAAAATCTATTAAAAATAATGCATTTAAATGATTGATTTACATGTGAAATGTCATCAGTATGTATTTATATAGTCTAATTTTGTATTTACAACATTCTTAGGTTAATTGCTTTATAATATATTGCTTTAAAGGGGTCATATGATGTTGCTAAAAAGAACATAATTTTATGTATTTGGTGTAATGAAATGTGTTTATGCGGTTTAAGGTTAAAAAAACACGTTATTTTCCACATACTGTACGTTATTGTTTCTCCTCTATGCCCCGCCTTTCTGAAACGTGTCGATTTTTACAAAGCTCAAACAGCGTCACACACGGTGGCCTAGAGGGAGCGGAGGCCGGGGGCTAGAGTGAGTGGAGGCCGGCTTGAGTGAGCGGTGGCGGGCTTGCGGCAACCACATGTGACGACCCCGGGCTGGACTCCGCTTTGTCCACGGTGAAAGCCTACGCCTTCTTTCTTTGCGTGAACATTTGGGCGGCGTTATGCAAATCTTCCCACATCGTGACGTAGACATGTGGGGGCATGTTAGAACGAGCCGTTTTAGGTAGGCGTGGTTGACTCAACTTTTATAAAGAATATCTCTTTGGATCTGAGACTTTAGTCTTTGCGACTTTTCAGATCTTCTTTATGCACCAAGAGCTTGTAACACTCCAAAGAGAAAGGAAAAATTGAAATCGCATCATATGACCCCTTTTAGATTTGGTCTATGAAATCTCATCTATTAATGTTGTCTCTGGCTCAGGAGAAAAATACAGTACAGCAGATCTGAAGTCCTCATTTATTCAGGACCAGGTTTTATGATGAGGTGAAATATGTTTCAGTTTCACTTTACTGTAAAATCTTACATAATACTGCTAACACACTTTTTCATTTGCCAAGTTTTGTTATTCTAATGACTATAGTAAGGTTGTCGCTTTTTGAGAATAGTTTGAGACTTTTTCCCCCTTTATTATTATTTATATTTTTCATGTTGGGAACATCATTAGACAATATGACAGTATAACGATGTTTGACTGATTATACACAAATCATGTCTATATAATCTTTTATGTTAGGTATTCTGCTAAATTATTATGCTTCATACTAAGTGCATTCAATCAAACAGACTCCTTAAATGAAAATTTAAAAAATGTGAAGCTTAAATAAAAAGTAATTCAAACCTTGTTGCCATTTATGACGCAATGTAAGGAGGAATTACTGCACAGTAGTAGCTCTTGTTTTCAGAATAATAAGGGTCAATTTTTTGAAATTGAGATTTATACATCATCTGAAAGCTGAATAAATACGCTTTCCATTGATGTATGGTTTGTTAGGATAGGACAATGTTTGGTCGGGATACAACTATTTGAAAATCTGGAATCTGAGGGTGCAAAAAACAGTAAATCAGTAAATCAGTAAAACTTTAAAAAAGAATGCTAACTTACTTGAGTATATGAATGTATCATTGTTTTAGAAATAAATTCACGATGAGGAATGTTAATATACTCAAATTCAATTGTTTAAATTGGAATCACACATTCTTAATAATGTCATAAAGTAGACTGTGTAAATTATGAGGATGGTTTGGAGTTTAAGTTTGTTTTATTTTATTATTTTAGGTTTGAATCTTATTCTTATTAGTATCGTGGGAAAGGGTCTCTCATCCAAATCTCTTATCTATTCTTTTCCATTTTCCATACATCTATACGGTGTTGTACAATGCCAGTTGTACTTAAATCTTCCTTAATGTTATGCCAGAGACATAGACAGCAGTAGGAGTGAACTTCCCAAAACTTGTGAGTCATGGTCACTTTAACAGGTGCTGACCAAAAGTATCCTGTCCCTTTAAGAGGAGCTGCAGTCTGTGATTCAAAGGGCAGTGTGTATATGAGTCAGTTGCTTTAGAGCCAGCTGTGTGTGAATGTGTGCTGCCAGGAAGTGGGGCAGCAACCACACCAGCTACAGTCCCATCAGACTGCTGTCCTAAACGTGCAGTCTGTGGCAGAGCTTTTCTCTCTTTCTTTCTACCTCTCTCGACTCTCTTCTTCCTGTCATCTCTTTTCATTTTCTAGTCTTGGAGTGAAAATCAGACTGATTCTTTGGGACTTATTTGGGATCCAGACACCCCCACCCAAAGTGGTCCATCTCTGTGTGGGACCACAGTGCGCTGCATTGTGACTTACAGTTGTTATTAGTAGCGGATCCTGCCGTAACCACTGTCCACCCATGCTCCGTGTATTTATTCTGTACGCCCAGAATGTGCTGATGCATGATGAGGACATTAGCGATGCCTACTGCACCATCACTTATGAAGGTAGGGGCCAGACCAGGGTGAATGAGAAAGTAGTTTTCTGAAAAATATGTTGTAGAAAATTTGCTAGAATACCATTTTCTTTTCTGTACAATCACATTCATTCTCTTCTCTCACTGTCTTGTTGTCAGTCTTCCTACTTTCCACATTCCATCAAGCGGGCTATTATTGGAAAAGCAGTTGCAGTCTCTCTCTCCCGCTCTTGTATATATTTATGGGTGTCCTGTTGCAGTTGGAATATGTGCGTGTGAAAGAGTGCTGCAGATCTGCTCAGTGTTTCTAAGAGATGCTAGGTCATCACAGTTTGGTTCAATGTGGGGCTCCTGTTTGCTTTACATTCAAAGCTTTCAGGGACCCATAATTCATGTGAGATGGATCAGAGGGGCATTTCACATTCATTTGATATTGACAAATTTGACAAATAGAATAAAAAAATATAATAGAAATAGAAGACTGCATCAATTGCATTTTAAAATAGAAAACAGGTATTTTAAATTGTAATGATATTTCACAATATTACTGTTTTGTTTTATTTTTAACAAATAAATGCAGCCTTGGTGAGCATAAGAAACTTCTTTCAAAAATATTTAAAAAATCTTACCACCCCCAAACCTTTGAAAGGTAGTGTATGTCTGATCCTGGTTGATCAAACAGCTGACTGTTTTAATATTTTATTGTATTTAAGTACTTGAGTACATTGACCTGAATCTTGCTGAATGTTTATCACCCCCCCCACAGATGTGCGTAGGAGCTCTGTCTCCCTCAGGGTCGATGCCCTCCGTGTTTCTTGGGGAATGCAGTTTGTTTGCTCAATAGAGGGCTTGTTGTTGCTGAATCATGAGGCAATCATATACCAGCACTCAGACGCAAGCAAAAAAAGTGCTACAGTAAATCATGATATGAGATCAATACAATAGAGCATTACCTTCCATTACATCCATTCAGTGATGCATTTTAGAACAACTTAAACTATTATGAGAGCATAGTCTTGTGTTCTCAGTTTTACTGGGTTGCTTCGTACTGTTTTGTAGCTGTGTCTTTTATTGCTGAGGCTTTGGAAGATCTAACAAAAAAGGACACTACAATTTACAATAAACTATTTCTTTACATAAAAAATGCTTCATTTAAATACAGTAATTCAGATACTAATTACCCATGTTTTTACTAAATCTCCTGTAAATCATTCAAATAGGCTATCTAGGCGTCTTATACAGCCAAGCTAAGGCTGGTCTGTGCCTGCTCATAATTCAGTGTAAAGATACAATGCCGGATTAAAAGCCTGACAAAATTTTGCATGCTTTAACCCACCTCAGCCCCTAGTATCAAAGTATACAGTTGTAATTGCTGTGTAAATGCATTTATGCCACATCTGAGCAGCATTAAACAGTCTGTGGAAAGACACCTAAATGCCACTTCAGAAGCACTTCTGTGCCACCTTTGCAGTGTAAATTTGGCATCACATCATCTCATTTCAATCCACATCAGGATTGTTTATGAAAAGATGATGCAAGCTCAAAGGTAAAGTGTGCAGGCTAACATCACCAAACTGTATTGCATTGCATTGAACATTCCCTCCATCTACTACTGGTGGACAAACTGAAGAGTCTTGCCCCAAACTCACAGCATTGGTTGAGCAACAGTTACTGTGCCATGCTGGTTGGGAGGCTCAAAAATTTGTGCCAAAGTGTTCTACTTTTTTTTTAGCTAAATCACCTTTAGTTATCTCTGCATATTAAGCTAGTTGTAAGTATCTTAAAAGGAAAAACAAAACAAGCTCAGGAAGATGTGCATTCAGGCTTCAGAAATGGCAGTAGGTGGTGCTCCTTGCCTGGAAATGTCAGCTAACAAGTAAGAAGACTACAGAGAGACCACAAAGACTCTTGAAGTACTGTATACTGACATAATATAATAACTATATGATAACTAATGTTTGCAAGTGCGAAAATGAGTGGATTTTAGTATTGATGAAGGCAATTACATGTGCCATGAAATTCCAAAATATCTTTTGCTTACACTAATTGTTACACTGCATTATACAAGTTTTTAAAACGTTAAACAAGTTTTTAATGTTTTATATTCTAATTAAAAGGTTATAGAGAAAAGATAGATGATGAGAGAGAAGAACAAGCTGCAGGAAATGTTTAAATTTCCTCTTGAGTTATGGGCTGGGTCACTGGAGAGGAAAGTGTGGTCCACAGTAAGTTTGGCTCCGTAAGTTCCTACATGACATTCTCTGTGTACGCATGTGAGAAGTGCTTGTAAGTGAAGATTGTGAAATACATTTATCAGTTCGGACCCCTTATCAAGGACGCAAACAGAAATTGATTTTTAGGATTGTGGTGGGCTTATACAACCCCCGATACATTCCATTCTGGACATCACACTCATCTTCAGCTTTGGACCTAAAGATCACAAGATGCGTTTATCTTCAGAGCAACCTTTGTGAGGGTCCTGCCGGGATCTGTCCCTCTTTTGTGGTCTGATGGTAGTTTGACCTGCTTCTTGTTGGAGAGTTTGGGAATCAAGGCAGCATGTTGAGGTGTTTGCTACAGAGGGCGACCAATCTGGGAAATGTAGAAAAAGGGGAGAGGCATAGTGACCCACTTGCTAGCATCACTTTCAGAGGTAAGAGATGACATCAAAAACGTGACTGACTGTCCAGCTCAGGGCATTAAAAAAAGCAAGATCTATTATGAAACTGTCGCGAATGTGAGGTGAAAATGCAGATTTCAGTCATTTGGACTGTTGGGTACATGAGTGTTATTTATAGATAATTTTCATCTCAGACTAGTATAGTAAAATTGCATTTGTTTACTGACAATATTAGTTTACACAATGAAAGAGGTCATTTCACTTTCAAGTTAGAGGGACCTTTTTTTTAACCTGTCAGTTTGACATTGATTGTTGAAAGGGAGAGATGTAACAAATGTTTTGATAACTTTTCTCTAGGACAGTAGATAATTTCAGCCAATAGCCGAGTGATCATATGCTAAATGAGGAAGATGCTAAATAATCTAGAAGGTTTCTGGATAGATCTGAGCTTGATTAATTATTTTATTAGTTCTTACATTGAATGAATGAATGTGATGGACACTAGTTTTAGACTACCTTGCAAACTGAGTGGCAGTTCCTCTCATTGTTCCATGTTTCCTGTTCCAGCACAGGGATGTACAGGAACATGCGTTTGATGAGCTTGATGTGTTTTTGTATGCCGAGTATCCATGGCGATAAAATCCTGTTCTTTGTTTATACATGGTCCTATTTGATTGTCTAAATTTTCACAAAACAATAAAACAGATTAAGATAGAAATTTTTTTAAGTTAGCAAATAGTAGTTAATAAAGATGAGGTTTGTTTTGAGTATGACTTCATTTTGCAGGATGCTGAGAGAAACAATGTAGTTCCTGCCTTGTGTTATTTAGCACTCGGCAAACTGCTTTGGAAAATATCAAGTAGAACAGAGATTTTCTACATTTCTACATTAAAATTTTTAGTACCCCTTCCCTCAGAGAGAAGTATTGTTTGCGGAGCTAAGTTGGTTATATATTTGATTAATTCATTCATTTGCTCCAGTGCTATTTTAGTATTATGTATTACCATAGCATTTATTGATATTTTGAATTAGCTTTTTTTTTGTAATATTTTATATAGTTTTCATTTGTACTTGCTAAGTTTTGGTAATTTTATGTTTGTATTTTTTTTTTTTAATATATTTCTATTTAGCTATTAATTTCAGTTGTGAAGGCAAGGCAACCTTTCTAATTTCTGTTGAAATTTTTCATGTATTATTTATATTTTATTTTATTTCAGTTTCATTATAATTAACAACCATTTAGGATAACAATAACAACATTGCGTTTGTTTTGTTTAATTTGTTTGTTCATCTGTTCATTCATTCACTTGTTACTTGATTCAATTTTGTTCATTACATTTATTTACATTTTGTTTGAAAGATTCCTTAAACCCCCTTATCTCTGCATGTTATGTCATATCTTGACATGCAACAGTTGTGAATTTCCTCTATGTAGTGTATCATTACTGATGGTCATCTCTTTTTCCACCTCTTTGTCATGTGATGAAAAGGCTTCCCCTCATTCTTACAGACACTGAGTCACTCTATCCACTCTATAAACAATGACACCAAACAACTGAAGGAAAATCAGGTGTTCTGGCCTTTATTCTGAGTTGGACAAAGAGTAGGTCACTGCATTAGGCCTTGTTATTGTGTCACATCTGGAGGTCACTGATGTTTCTTATTTGTTTTTCCATTTAGTTCCCGTAATTCGTTAGATAAGCGTTTTGGGTTTTACTTGTTACTCTGGGTTTTTAGCTTCTATTTTACTTGTAATTATTCTGAATCCATTCTAATCAGAGGGATCGTGTGTTTCAGTGTGTGTACACGTGTATCTTCCGTTGTATGTGAATGTTAGGGAGAGGGGATGAGACTGGAAGAAATAAAATTAGCTGCAGTAAGTGTTTTTTCCTCAGGCATGGTATCAAATACCATCTCCATTTATAGACATCACAGATGCAAATTATCCTCCCAGTCCAACTGCCAGAGTCCTTAGTTTGAGCTCTGAGTAAGCAACAATATATGCAGACTGTGCAAGAGAGAGAGAGAGAGAGAGAGAGAGATATGTGAGAATCTGACGGACTTTGTGCAGAAGTAAGTGTTTTTAAAATGAAAGGTATTGACAGAGAAGGGTGGTCTGTTAGCATTGCTGACAACCAACAATTCTGTTCAGTTTGCTTTGCTATTGCTGACAATATGGCAAACCCGAAACTGTATCAGTATCTGTATGAGACACGGATCCAGTTTGTGTTTAATACAAACTGAATAAATGTATTTAGACTGGGCCTGAAACTCCAGGATCCCAGTCTTGTTATTTTTAACTCATACTTATCAAAGCTACAGTTTCCTGGCCATTTCTCAGATTGCATCCACCCATCGACTTCAGTCTGATGTGTTTTGAAATGCACACTAAATAAAGCCCAGGACTTTGAGGGCCACGGTTAAGAACATTCCATCCAGTTTCCATCACATTTTGGTGGAGGATGTCATGGCATGCCAGTGTTGTCCTCTTTTGGCTTGTACAAAGGTTTTCAGGTCTATTTCAGGCAGGCAAAGAGGGTTTTCCCACAATGCCACTGAGCATATATCTGCCACAGGAGCTTGTTTTGGCTTTATTCACACCTCTTGACATCTCCAATCAAAACAGGAAGATAAACAGAGCTCTCACCTGAAATGCTTTAGCGTGACAGACCAGTGGTGATTTAGATGGATACAATGGACACACCATGCATACCATGGATAGATACAATTGGTAGCTTACTTTTTTGTGCATGTGACTACTGTTTGTAGCAAAAGGTCTGAAAACATCTTGAAAAATGTGTGTCTGCTCATTAGATCAGCTATAAATTGTCTTTCACCAATACGGGCTCAATGTCAAGCCTAATCTATGTCCCTGTGGAAATCTTTCAACTGTATTTGTCAGGTGGAAGTTAGTGCCCATTGTCCATCTTCCTCACTGAAAACATTTTCAGCATGGATTTATTGGAGGCCAGCCACTGCAGAATATTACGTCAGACACACTGTCCTCATTCTGATAATATGTTTTCTTTTGTTTTAAAATAATTTTTCTGAATTTAAATACTGAGGCTTTTGATTAAGTAAAGATTTATTTTC